CTCTCTCTCTCTCTCTCTCTCTCTCTCTCTCTTCTCTCTCTCTCTCTCTCTCTTTTTTTTGATTATATAAAAAATCCTTTCAAAACGAACGAGGAAATTTTTTCGTAGAAGGAGAGACGGGGAAAAAATCGCGTGGAATCAATTTTTTTTTTTTTCTTCGAACGATAAATACGATACGATACGACAACAGTTCAATCACGAGTGAGAGAGAGCGACTGTGTTAAACATCTCAGATTTAGAGGTTTAGTAAGAGACGGCCGCGAATTCCTGACATCGAGACGATATTCCGAAATTAAAATCGAGACGAGGGTCTAAATATAGAAAGAGGCCGAGAAATCTTTCCTCCATCGTTCCCCTCTGAAATTTTTTTTTTTCAGATCGCTTTAGATCTTAATCGGGTAAAGCTTTTTCCTTAATCACGCAATATGTTACATCACGGTTTCAAAGTGGACTTTCCTGTCCTTTCGAAACAGAATTTTCTTAAAATCATTCATCTATGATAATGGATATTATATTATAATAAGAAAGAGGACGGATACACTCGTGTTCATCGTTTAAAGTTTTTCTTCTTATTATTATTCAATTTTTAAAAAGAAAAAATTTTTTAAAAATCGTCAAAACTTAACCTTTGCATTTTCGTTGTCTCATTAAAATTGGGATAAATGCATACGTAAATTCGAAGCATTCAATGCCAAATTGCATTTATCTAGACATGTTTAAGATCTTTAATTATCACGATGTATATTCTTGGTAACGTTTGACGAAAAGCGTGAAAAGTGTGTTTAGCAAGTGGTCGAAGACGTGTTCGAATCCATGAACAGTAATCCAGATTGAGGGAGGCGCGTGGACGGTACTCGAGTTTGCTCGTGGTTGCTTTTACTACCTTGACATGGATTCCCGGCTGGCAGTCAGGGCCGGGGACGCTTGCGAAGGACCCCCGCGTGTTAATTTCACGTGGAAACCCTTTTAACTTTGAGGCGAAAATTCGATCGATTTATCGTGCCCTCGACACAAGCACGCGCGACACGATTTTATTATTGACACACGTGTGGAAACAAAAACGTGTACATTTTGTTATTTAAAAAGTATAGAGATACTTGTTACTTTTAATTAAACATGTCTCAACAGCTTTATAAATGCTGTTTTTTTCGATGCTCTCCTCTTTCGACAATTCGAAAGGAAAATTTGTTTTTTAAGTTCATGCTCTTTATTAAAAGTTTTATTACGCACCAAATACGTTAAAAATAGAATAATATTTGTACGTTTTATCGTATAATCGTAAAGACTTATTATTTAAACAGCCCTGGCAAACATCTGTTGCCACATGATGACGTGAATAAAAATTCTCGAGTTCTTCTATTATTTTTCATATTGTGGATACGCGTATCTCGATGATAATTAACCTATATATACATATATATATGTAGATTCTATTAATATTAATTCGAATAGAAACGTATATATATAAAATTTACATACAGATTTTTCTTAAACATTTTATATCTGGAAAAAAAAAAATTAATTCTAAATAAATTTCGTCAATTGGTTGTCGTCGTGTATTTCTGAACTTGAATTTATAGGTTAATTCTCTCGTTGCGCCATCTGTAGATAATATTGAAAATTACATATACGTTTTTATTTCTCACATCGACCTCTTATTTTATATAACGTTTGTAACGTTTGAGAACATTTCTATTTTGAGAACATATAATTAATTACTAAATATACGTTTATAAGTCTTCTATAATAAAAATCATACATAAAATTATCTCTATTTACGCATTGTAACGTATGTTTTTTTTTTCCAGTATTAGCAAAAGAGTTTCAATCTGGAAAAAAAAATTCAACTCTAAGAATATCGTAGCGTAAAAAGGTTACGAATAAAAATCGATATAATAAGTCTGTTTTCAACCCCGTCGATATACAACATATACATATACGAGTGGAAATGCGAGAATATTTTTTTCTCTTCGACTTTGAACGAAGAAAATTTTGCAAGGTGTTACACGCCGCGAGTTTACACGGTAAACCGATACGTAATACATTTTTACACAATTAACAAAATCCGTACTCTGTACCCTCGTGTCGCGCTTTGCATTGAAATCGTCTCGTTTGTTTTTCACGTGGACAAGAGAGAAAACAAAAGGGACATTGTGGCTCTCTGGAACATGAAGGCTCTTTCAGTAGTTGGTATACTTACACGTATGTTTGACGAAATTTCACCGTGTTCACGTAATCAAGTAAACGAGGGAAAAGAAGAAAAAAGGAAGGATCGTTACGCGAAAGTTGAGCAGAGAGAGGTGGAAGAAGTGAAAGCACTGTTAACGTTCCTCCATTCGTGAAGTTACGCAGATTTTAACGTGTGATTTCCAAGCTTCAAGGACGTTAAATTTCATTTTTCCTTGATTTTTAATATTCTTTAAACGTCGTTTTGTAATTGCTCGTTTCTATATGATAATTTGTGAAATTTTCAGCCTAAAAGAGGGATAGGATTATAATTTGTTCAAAATCGTTAATGATTCTTTTTGTTTTTTAGTTAATCCTTTATTTAATTTTTTGATATCTATAAATTCTTTAGAGATAGATAAGATAACCTCTCTATTTTTTTCTTCTCCAATGTCTTTTTTTTTTTTTTTTTTAGAATTCTTGGAATTCTAGTTTCTAGAATTGATAAAATGTACTCGGTCGTTCAAGCATCAGTTTCATTTAAGTTTTTAAGGAATTTGTTGATATTTCAAACTTTTTTAATCTCTCTTTTCTGTTATTCTTCTATCTATTTTTCTATCGTAATTGAAGTTTCAAGAACGAAATAAAATAGAAACAGTCGAGATTGTACAAAATTGTTTTCAATTACCTTTTAATCTTTTAATGTATTTTACAATTTTTGAAAAGTAATTCTATTTTTCTTCTTCTTATTTTTTCTTCTCTTTTTCTTTCCGTAATCGAGTAGTCCGTAGTCAACTTCATTGATTTTTGACATACATTTTTTTTAATGAACTTGATAATTATTTTTATTCTCTTGATTGATTCTTCTTGATTGATTTCTTTTCCATCCTTGGATTCGAAGCTTTACAAAAGATAGAATAGGATATTAATCAATCATGATTTCAAAATCATCGGAAATCATCTCCAATGAAAAGTTAACCTTTTAATGTTTTTTTTTTTAAATCCTTTTTAACTCCAACATGTTGAATAATCATCGAAGATCATCTTCAGTTCAACAAATCAATCTTTTGATCTTCTAAAACCTTTTCAATTTCTATTCTCTTGTGTAGTGGATGGAATTAACCTTTAAGGGGATTGGTAAAGGTTATTCAAGAGTCATTGAAGGTCATTTTCCAAATAACTAGAGGAAATATAAAGTAGGTGGATTATGTTAGGTCAGTCGAATCTTGCATAGGTCATCGGTGATCCATGAAATTCATTAATAAAACTCGTTAAACGTGCTCTAGAAATTAAAACAACATTATTACTTTCCTCTTGAAGAAATTCCTTTAACGATTCACTCTCTTTCTCGAATATTAATTTCCACTTAACAATCGATTGTAATAAAAAAAAAAAGTACAAGTAGAATACCTTTACCCTACTTATTTCGTTCTCTTCTCCGACTTCTTGATTTGTTACTCTGCCCTACTATTCTAATTATAATTCAATTATGCAATTCCTCATCATGTAAGAATAATAATATAATCCTCTTCTGTAAGTGGGTTACGGAATCTTGTTTCGAAATGTCAAATTGTGAAGAAAAGTATGAAGCGAAAAATTTCATGATTATAATAAAATAAAATAAAATAAAATTCGAAAGATACAAGATTAAAAAAAATCCATGATGTATATATTCTTTGATAAAGAATAATTACATTTGTACAGTCAACGCGATGTAGTAGAAACTCGTTAATTTCCTTTTTTTTTTTTAGTAATTGCTCAAGTTTAAGATTAACTGTTCACTCGTGTAACATTATGTCAATTTACATTTCGAATTAGCAATTTCAAGCTTGAAAAATTGAAACTAACATTAGATTTCACGCCTAGATTGAATCGGAACGATCCACGATTTAATCAAATTACATAAAAACAACGCCAGTTTTATTTTGAAACGACACTTTAAAACAGAATCATTTCTTTTCGCGGGAAAAATTTTCATCAATTTTTATTTTTTACCAAAAAAAAAAAAAAAACACGTCGCATTGACATTAATTCCACATAGATAAATGCACATATGCACGCACAAGAAAAAAAAAAAAAATTATAAACGCAACGATTTCCTTTTTTTTTTGTTCGCGTTCAATTTTCACTTACACGATAAATCCGAACTAGACAAGTGCTAAAGAGAAAGAAAAAAAAGGAGGAGGGAAGGAAGGAGGGGGAGGTGTCGAAAACACTTTATACATATCCATATCCACGGCCGAAAAAGTAAAAAAAAAAAAAAAATTAACGCGGTTCCCAACAGGCTGTTTCACATTTCACGGTTCGATTGGAGCCAAGTCACGGTCTGTTCGAGATCGGCCATGATTTAAACGGAACACCGATCTAACACTTCCGGGCTACGCTCGGTCCGCGTGTGTTCTCCTCCATCCGCGGTCTCGTTTTAAAAACACACAGCTGCATTCTAGCGGATCAGTATTTACGCACATTCGCGTGCATGCCCGCACACCTGCCGATATTAACTGCAGGTGCATCTACATTTGCGCACGCCACCTTGAGCGACTGCCGTGCCACGCGATATTTCACGATCCGGCCACACCGAGACGTATGACGAATCACTACCTCTGCTTTCCCTCCGCTTTGTCCCCGGACACTCATTTCCCCTATGAAATGATTTCATACCACTCTCCGCGAGCAGCCACGCGTCGCGCTCCCAAGATTCCCAGAGTTTGACGTTTTCCGTGTGAATCGATTCGTGGGCGTGAAGGAGGATTTTATTATTTTTTTTTTTTTCCTCTCTTAGTATTTGGTTCGTAGTATTCGTAGATTTGATGCCTTTCAGCTTTTTTCTTTCGAATTTTGAATTTTCTTCTTTTTCGAACAAGATTGCGTTTTTGATAAAGCGTTGTTGCTTTATTAGGGGAGGGGGGGAAGGAAATTGAAATAATGATCTTCGATGACGAACGAATTGTTATAATTGATTTGCTTTTGAAAGGGCACGTGTAATTAATATTTCTTTGATTTCGATCTCTCTATTTTTTTCATTGTGAAAATAATTTACAAGTAATGGTTCGAGAATTCGTGACCGTGAATATGGAAAAAAAGGCGGCGTAAACGAAAAGAAAAAAAGTAATGGATAGAAGAAATTTTAAATCGATCGTCCCTTCTTTTTCTCGTTTCGCATGCAAGGTCGAGATCGCAGGCGAGCTGATTCGATAATCGAACCCGGGAACCGTGCAAGCGTCATTTTGCAATCATCACCTTCGTCGACCTTGCCTGTCTTTTTTTGAAACGACCAGCGTCTAGATATCGATTCCAAAGTCGTGAAATCGCAAATACCATCATTACTCCGCGCTATTTTTTCCTCATCGAAGTTCTCCCCACCCCCCCACGAACAATATATAATTACATTCTCTCCCTCCTCTCATTTTTCAGTTTCGTAATTTGCATTCGAAAACACGTAATCCATTTTGAAAATGTAGATCGATACCTTGCTAATTTGAGTATTGTCTTTGTTTTCAATCGTTGTGATTGATGGTCGTGGTTATATTTTTTTCTCGTCGTTTGAACTACTATTTTTTTCTTTTTTTCTTTTCGTTTATCTCGTGCAATTATGTACATGTAATTTTCATTCGAAATTTCGGTATTGGACGGGGGAAAGCGATTGAATATTTAAAATATTCCAAAATAAATATTTGTCCCGTTTCAAGCCGTCATTTTGTTTAAAATGTTGTCGAATAATTTGAAAATTTCCCAGATTTAGAAAAATTTAGAAAGCTGATTCGATAAACAATCTCAAGGTTTTAACTAATCGAACAGCGCAAGAGAGATATGGATAGATATAATATTCTAAAATTCAATATTTCAAACGTGTCTCCAAACAAGTTTCTAAGCAAATACGAAATGGCGATGAAGTTAAATTTCGAAATTTTAATTGAAACATTGTTAAGTAACATATAAATAAAACGTTATATAATTTTATTTCATTAAAGACCATGATTATACCTAAATTTCTTAATTCTTTTTAACGGGAATTAATTTCCATTACGACGATCGTTACTTCCATTCCCATTAAAAAGAGGGAAAGATTAAAAATAAAAATTGAACTCGAACTATTGAACCTGGATATTATTAGGAGAGGCGAATATCTGAAATCTGTTCTGATTGGAAATGGTTCGAATAAAATTCATTTGACAAAACGATTACGAAAGAGAGCTTTGGCCTAAAGATAATTTCACATAGTTTCAGATGAAAGGAAGGAGGAGGGGAGGGGGAGGGGGGAGGGGGAGGGGGGAGGTGTCGAACAAAGATGAATATAACTAAAAACCTGATAAAACCGGATAACACGGTATTGTTCGTAAGCGAAATCTTATTTTCTAAATTGAATGGCGACGACAGAGAGAGAGAGAGAGATGGTGGCGGCACTAGTGTTCCGCAATGAAACTAACGCATTTCGTCGATTTGCACAATGGAAAACGTGAATTAATCAGAGCAGAAAGTTAATCGTGGGAGTCAACGTGCTTTTTTTCCAACGATTGCTCCTATCATTTCTTTCAGCGTCTTTCAAGATTGCGTACGTTGATGATTGTACCGTGATGTACTGTTACTTGATTGTAGTAATTTAAGTATGTGTACTGTATACACGTGTAACATGTAACAATAATTTGTTGTATTATTGTTAATGATAATAATAAATTTTGTGAATTTTTAATATCACATTACAAACGATAATCGCGATAATACAATCCCCAACTTGAATCCAAAACTTGCCAAGTCTAGTTTGGTTGGGAATAAAGACTTACTTTAAATTTCAGCCTGCCCATTTAAGCCTCGCGTATAAATTTACAAGTTTCCACTTTGAAAGTAAAATTATATTCTATCTATGATAATATACACCGTGATATATATCAATAAAGTTTCCATTTATATATTTCTTTTATTGTTGTTCGAAAGTGATTAGCGAGGCTTCGTATTTTTTGGACGATCATGCTCCAAATGGATGAATATTATTTCCGGATATTAATCGAAGATCGGATTATTATTCGAAAGGATCCGATTGAAGTCAAATAGAGAGTCCAGCAGTATTTGGATAACCAAGCTTCGATGAAAGTTGTTGGACCAATTTCCTGGAACAATTAGAAAACGATTAGAAAAGTGTTATTATTTTTATCTTTCGAAAGATAATAATAACAACACTTCGGCTACTCTCTCGAGATAAAATATTTTCTTGATTTAGAATAGTAGAATATACATATCCATGCTCCTCTTGGATCACAATTATACTTGTAAAGTTTTTATTGTCGAGCCAATTTTCTCAAATGGAAATGTATACACGTGTTATCGTGACTCCATTCCTATTCAAAACCCACGTGCCTTTTCACCACTTCCTTGTACCACTTTTAACCTTCGTCATCATTACATCATCATCTTGGCAAGGAATTCACCTTATCATTCATCGAACACGTGTCATTGGACGGGAAGGGAAGTAAAATCGAGTGTTCCTGCTGATTACAGTAAACCTGGCAGACAGCGGAGGCCAGAGGGTTGACATGACGCACTTCGATCTGCTGAAGGTCCTTGGAACCGGAGGTACGTGAACGAAATCCTTTATTACTTACCGATTAAATCCATAATGAAACGACTGATTACTCTCCTTCTCTCTTACAGCCCCAATCGAATACTAAAAATTATTAATTTATTTATTTATTCATTCGTTTTAAATTGAACGACACGTGCAATCTCTAATAAGTAAAATTTAAATATTGTGTTATTTTTTTCTCTCTCGTTTTGCTTTCGTTGCAGTATATTCATTTTAATAAAAAAAAAAAAAAAAAGAAGTATTTTAATTTATTCTAATGGAAATTTATTTTAGTTGAAATCTCTTTTTTTTTCTTTGTAAAACACGTATACACGATATTTTCATTTGTTTTTATTTCTCTTATATCTTATTTTATATCCCCCCACAGTTTATTCACAACCGATATATTCGAACCAAAAATCTACAAGGATTTATCTAGGATCACACCCGCACGAAGACGTTGAGTTTTCCCAACGTAGAAGCCATTTTCCTACCTAAAAAACAAAGTTCCCGAGGAATTCTCCATAACACGCATAATAAAATATATTTAATACGAATTAAATATATTTTTAAGGAAGTATGAATCGACCGTGAACGGCGATGAATCGTCCGTCAATTCGATTTAGATATTAGACAATGAAGAAACAAAGAAAAAAGAAAAAGAAAAAAACAAACTCTTTTGTGCAGCTTACGGAAAGGTGTTCCTGGTGCGTAAAAGAACTGGAACCGATGCAGGCAGACTCTACGCCATGAAAGTCTTGAAGAAAGCGTCCATCGTTCAGAGAAAGAAGACAACCGAGCACACCAAGACGGAGAGACAAGTTCTGGAGGCCGTCCGCGACAGTCCTTTTTTAGTTACATTGCATTATGCCTTTCAAACGGACGCAAAGTTACATCTGATTTTAGGTGAAGTTTAAGATAACATTATTTTTATTGAAAATTATTCATCCTTTATTGTTA